GACATGGCGCGACTTAGGATTACTGAGGACATGGCCCTTGACAGGGAATTATGGAGGTCGAGCATTAAAGTTGTAGGTTAGGGAAAACTTGTGAATATTTCTACAGCACAATAGAGTGAGACTAGCCAGTTAGGAGTTAGACTAAGAATGTCATTGGTCGTCTATTGATGCAGGGCTTTACCTGCTAGTTTTACTATACCAGCCATTTATTTCGTATTTCGTGTTTCGTATTCTGTATTTCATATCTCTTATATTGCTGTTATTTTATTATGCATTTTTATGGTACTAATATATCGGCTCCTGTTGCTTTTTTTGAGCCGAGGGTCTCCTGGAAACAGCCTCTCTAACCTTCGGGGTAGGGGTAAGGTCTGCGTACATATTATCCTCCCCAAACCCCACTTGTAAGATTATACTGTGTCGTTATTGTTGTTGTTGTTGTTTCATTATTAAGAAAAGGCCAAATACATACACAACCACTTAAGCTTGTTCTGATATTCTATTTAGACACCTAAATTAAGCCTACCACCTATTAGAACCCTGACCTATGAGTAAACTGTGTCTATTGAACACATATTACAGAATCCTAAGAAACTGAAGGAGCGTGAATGCCACTCGTTCTGACGTGGAAAACTACACCAATGATAAGGCATGTCAGCAAAAAAAAGTCAAAATCTGAAGAAGCAAAACTAAAAGAAAAAAGAGTTGATTGAATAAGTTTCCAGCAAAGTTTCACCTTTCCGACGAAGTCCGTTCAGTCGCAAATCTTGGGTTTGGCGAACAACAACATACAATTGATATGTTAGTTTCAGGCTTTTAGGGAGGGACTTTCGGGGGGTAAAAGGAAAAAGGAACAAGATAAGAGGAAGGGGAGGCATTAGTGATGGCCGGCAAAAATGGAGATCGCCGGTGATGATATTTCCGACAGAGGCGAGGCTTTAAGATCTGATTTTTGGGGAGAAAATGAATCTTTATAGGTTGAGGAAAGAGAAATACGAAAAGAAAAAGGAATAAAAGAAGACTATTGGTTGCCGGAAAAAGAAGACAAAAGTGGCCGGAAATTGATTTCCGAGCGAAACTCCATTTTCCTGTCTCATACACGCTCAAGTTCATGTGAACAACACATTACCTGCCATGTCAGCAAAAAGTGTCCAACAAACATAGTTTGAATATTGGTTAGGTGTTCAATAGGTCATCTGCTTAGTTTAGGTGTTTAAATGGAATATCTGGACAAGTTTAGGTGTCTGTGTATGTATTTGACCTAGAGAAAAAGCTAAACAACAGCTCCAAATGAAGAATCCTACCGAATTACTCCCATTTTTCCTTTTTAACAAGCAAAACATAAACTTTTTCCTTTTTAATCAACATTCTTTAGTTGCTTGTTATTGTATATTAGCTTTAGGTCATGATCGCTTCCTTTCTTAAAATTTAGAACCCATACAATTTAAATTTTAGTTCCACATCTGATCATATCTTTACGATCGTTACCCTCTTTCTCTACTATAGTATGTCATTTCCAGCCTTTTCCCTTTTTATCTTGGTATTTACTTAAAATTTTGACTAGAGGTTTACTGAATTTAAAAAAAAAAAGAATATTTAGTACATACAAATATGAGCTAACTAGTGAATATCATCGCGCTTCACACAATTGTGAAAGAATTATTTAGTGAATGAATTCAGTATATGAGAAAGAAAACACTCGTAACAACATGCATTTGAATTAATGCATTACCTTATTCATCCCGTTGGCATTTGTTAATTCAACATTTGGGTTATTAAGAAAGATTCAAATAACTCATGCATGCATTAGAATAGGGACTTACGAAATTAACTTAATTCGAAGTATAAATGTTCATTTTGTCAAGCCTTTATCAACAACAACAATAACATACAATGGCGGATCCAGGATTAAGCGGGTGCAGTCTATCACCCCTCCTTTTTATCCGAAAGGATTATAAGGGAGTTTTTCTAATTTAAGTGACATTATTCGATATGAGATTGTTTATTTAATTTCAGAGTCGCCACTTGGAATAATTTATGGTGTACATCGATTTTTTTTTAAAATCCCAAATCAAGGAAAATTTGACTTTGTTTAAAGTCTGCGAAACCAAAAAAAAACTAGATAAGGAATTATGTTAACCCGGGAGAAGGTGTTAGGCATTCCCAGGTTCCGTGGTTCTAGCACGGTCGCTTAGAAATTTGTACTTGGCCTATCCTATCTAATTACTTATTTTAGGACCTATGTTTATTTTTACCTTTTACCGTTATTAATCACTTGATAATCCATATTTAAGAAATTAACCTAAGATGAATTACGCGTACATATACTCAATTCCTAACACTTAGTTTATTTAAGAAAAAGGTTTAGTCAAAGTTGCGCGAACACATACTTTGAATTTATTTGAGAGAAACGTAATCATAATAACAATTCAAAACTTGCCCTAAAGCATTTCTACGAATATTTGATTAAGGCATTTTAATAAAAAAAAAATATTTAACCATGGTTAGCGAACGCATACCTTGGCATCACAACTATGTCATACATAATTGAAATAGTTAATCTAATTTTAAAGTGAACCTAAAATTGTGATTATGTCTCTACGTATTCTACGAGGTGTAAAGGTTCCATACTATATGAGATACTTATTTGAATTAGGTGGGGGGCAACTTACGTATTGGCTGCCAAACAGGCCCGTAGATAAGAGAGTTTGGTCCTTAAGAAGAGTTAACCTATTTACATTGCAGGATGTTGGGCCCAGCAAGCATTTCGGACCAGGTCCATTATTCTTAAAAGGAACTTAAGCCTTACTTTACACAGTTTAGTCTTGTTCAAGCGAATTAAAGCCTTCTTATCTCACCACTGCTTTCCGTTTTATGAAACAAATTGGCCAAAATCAACTAAAGAGGAGTGCAACTATAGAACCATCTCACATGGAATAAGACAGATTATCAGTTTGGGGAAAAACAACTAAATGATGGCTTACTCCTTTTAACCAAGAATGAAAAAAAAGTGAAAGAACTAAGAAAAACAAATCGATAGTAACTTATTCAAACTTCCAGAATAAATGCTAAGAATGGTATAGATGGACAACTGAACTATTTAAATCGATCTAAAGCAAAACAAACTGATTACATTCTAACATTTACAAATCTGGCGAATTATAATATCATTATCAATAATGGTAATAGACATAAATCCTTAAACATATATACATGGATTGTTTATAATTATGACTAAACTGAACAAAACATAATCGATCTTATGCTTAACCTCCCTCTATAGATAACTCCAAATCCACCCTTTAGCCTTAGAGTTCACCAATCTGACCCAACTGGTGGTCAGATCAGCAAGCCATAACCATGCATTCAGTAATAAACCATCTCTTTACATTCCAAACTCAACACAAATCCACATACTTCAACAAACCAACACTACAGTAAAGCCTTTTTGAACTGATACTGAATCTGCATGGTTTAAACAAGGCTGAAACTGTATTCAAATTTAAAACAAAAATTTAACAACTTACACGACATGCTCCAGGTATTGTTAATAGCTATTTAAACTAATATTTAGAGTTAAACAATCTCGGTCACCATCCAATTTATAATCAGCTAGTTTACAACATGGAATATTAACTCAGAAATAAACTCGGAATTACAACATAACCGAGCTAAACATGAGATAATTTCAACAGCTCCCAAGATAACCATAACAGTTCAAGTGACCAAATAGTAGAGCAAAGAATTCTGGCTTTCTTCATTTCAAAACACCAAATAAATAGAAACCACACATAAGTTTAACTAAATCAAGATCTACTAATTAACATACTAAACATAAGAAAATTAGCAAATGGTGATGGAAAATTAGGATTTCATGGAATAATAAAGAAATTGACTAATCCATGCCAAAACAAAACTCAGATTTAAGGTGAGTACCTGATTACAGCAAGATAGACAAAAATAGAAAATAAATATCTGGCTTTGGAGAAGAAGTAAAACACTACAAGTAGTTAAAAACAGCAACAACAGCCAGAAAGAACCAGAAACCCACAATCAAACTCGAATTCCTAGCATAAATGGAGTAAACCAGTAGGAAAATGGAGAAAAGGAAAGATAGCCTTGAGAATTTTTTTCCTGTTTCTATATCTGATATGGAAAAAAAAGCTCGAGAGAGAATAAAAATCAGTATTCAGGGATGCATTTTAGAGTAAGTATGCTGATGATAATGTGTATGTGTGAGTGAGTGTGAGGTCCTTTATATAGAGTGTAGGAATGCAAAAGGATATGAATGAGAGAGGGTCTTATAGAGAATATTCCAACATGGATTTCAGAGATGTCAGCTGTAAAAAGGGATAAGAAAGCATCTTTTTAACAGATTTTAGTACATCTATCCTTTTATCCAATTTTCAGCATCTTTTTAACACTAAAAATGGACAGTTGTCTAATACTAAAAGCTTCTGATATTTTATCTGAAATTTCTTCATTTCTTAACTGCCCAATTGACCCCTTTAAGTTCTTGCTATTACCCTTTTCACCCATACAGTTTCCAAATGTGTGTTCAAAACATTACTAAGCAACTAATTGAGGCAGGAAACATTGTAAACAAACCAAACAGAAATGATTCATTAATTAAACCTAAGTAAATTACTGAGCTAACTAAGGTTGATTAAGCTAAACAAAATATGGTTAAACTAACTAACAATGCGGCTAACTAGATAATCATAAAAATAATTTAAAAACTAATCCCATTTTTAATTAAACACGCAGTAATGAAGAACAAAACAAACAAAAACAAAGATAAAACCAAAACCTAAGTGATAACATAAAAAAATAAAAAACGGAGATAACGGGAAAAGAGAAAGATACTGATTTTTGCTGGAAGCTGAATCGACGAGCGATGAAAGCATCGAGGTTTGGCCGGTCGGTGTTGACTGGGTTGGAATCGGGCGAGCTTCGAAATAGACCAAAAATGACTCTAATCAATCGTTCTCGCTGAAAACAATCAACTAGCGTAGGTTTTGATCAAATCGAGTCTCGAAAACTCAAAAAAAAATCAAAAAAGGTGAAAAAGTTAGGGTTTCTGTTTTTTAGATTTGAATTTAGAGGAATTCGGTGGGGTTTTGGGAAAAATTGATGGTGGATTGATGACGAGGGTGAGGTGAGGAGTATGAAGTAGTGATTTGGTTGGGTTTGGGAGTGGTCCGCCGTCGTGAGGCGATTTTCGGACGGCGGAGAATGGTGGAGAAAGGCTGAGGAATCCTAGGCGGCTAGGGTTTAGTTAGGGTGAGAGAGATAAGGGAATGAAAGAGTCTCTAAGGGTTTGGGGGCGTTCAGACCTATTTAAGGGATGTGGGGGTTAGTTTAGGGTCGTTGGATTAGATTAGATAAAGGGATAGAATTGAATGGGGCGAAATGGTGGCGTTTTGGGTTAGTATTGGAGCTGGACCGGGTGAAGGATTTGGGCTTGGGCAGATTTGCCCAATTTGGGCCTCTGAGATGTTTGGCCCAACACAATTAAAGCCTAGTTTTTCCTTTCCTTGTTTTTTCTTTCTTTTTCTCTTCTTGATTTTAAATCCTACTTAATTAAAATAAAATCTTAAACTAAATCCTAACTTAAATCTAATTTGTAAAATTAATCTACACTTTAATAATTAATTATATTGAAACTATTGAAACAAAATTAAGAATTTAAGATTAAAAGCTAAAATATATAATGACCATTTTTATGTATATTTTTTAATAATGCAACTAACCCCTGTAAGTAAATCCTAAATACAATTAAGATTTAAAAAATGCCATGTAATGATAATTTGGATATTTTTTATGATTTTAAAATATTAAAAAAATGCATAAAAATACAACTAAATGCAAACAATTAATTAACAAAGATTCCTAAAAATTAAAATAATTAGAGAAATCCTATTTTGTGAATTATGTAGGAATATTTTAGCCGGGCAAAAATCACGTGCTCACAGCTGCCCCTCTTTACTCGGAAACACGAAGGATTTTCGGGTAAAGATAAAATGAGCAACTAAGAGCGATTTTTGCCCGTTTGGATACTCCATGGGAATCGTTTGAAAAAGTTTGACCGAACCTTACTCGGAGGTTGCCTACATATCCTTAACTATAAAGGAAACAGGTCAGTGTAGTTCTGGAATTTTGGTAGCTGGGACTACTGAATAACTGTGATTTTACTGATGTTGTTGTTGTTACTGCTTGCTGAGATCCTTATTACACCAAAATTAAAATGAAAAACTAAACTAACTAAGCCTATCAGCTACGAGTTACAAGATTCCTATCTATAAATCTTCTGAAGCTTGATTTTGAGTCTTGACTGGTTCTTCATGCAGACTCTGATCTAAATCTTGATGCTTGTTAGCTACAAGTGCTGATTCATTCTTCTTCAGCTTTTCCAGATCAAGGCGGGACATGCAAAGCTTGTGACTTCAATCATGTCTTGAGTAGTCCACATCTTTTCACCTTCTGTGATTTTCTTTTTCTTCTTTTCTTTTATTCTGAATTGAAACTTCTTCTTTTTTTCGTCTCGAACCTAGTGCTTTAAGGTATAACCTATTTAGAAATCAAAACAAACGAAACAAACAAAATTTTCTACCCCAATTTTCACTAGGAAAATTTCGTGAGTGATTTGTAACCAAAACTCTGTACTATCTCATTATTGAAAGCAATAAAAATCATGATTGTGTATCCTTGGGAAATAGATATTAGGGAGTGGGGACCCTATGTCTAAAGGTAAAATCAATTAGGGACTAGAAACTCTAGGTCGGAAAAATCACCAGGTTATGCTGGTATCAACTAGGGAAGGGCAATCCTATGTTGGAAAGTCGTCAAGTTATAATGACATCGACTAGGGAGTGAGACCCTATATTGGAAAGATCTTCGGGTTATACTGATATCAACTAGGGAGTGGGGCCCTATGTTGGAAAAATCATCAGGTTATGCTGGCATCAACTAGAAAGTGGGACCCTATGTTGGAAAAGTCATCAGGTTATGCTGGCATCAACTAGGGAGTGGGGCCCTATGTTGGAAAAATCATCAGGTTATGCTGGCATCAACTAGAAAGTGGGACCCTATGTTGGAAAAGTCATCAGGTTATGCTGGCATCAACTAGGGAGTGGGAACCTATGTTGGAAAAGTCATTAGGTTATACTGGTATCAACTAGGAAGTGGGACCCTATGTTGGAAAAGTCATCAGGTTATGCTGGCATCAACTAGGGAGTGGGAACCTATGTTGGAAAAGTCATTAGGTTATACTGGTATCAACTAGGAAGTGGGACCCTATGTTGGAAAATTCATCAGGTTATGCTGGTATCAACTAGGAAGTAGGACCCTATGTTGGAAATGTCATCAAGTTATGCTGGCATCAACTAGGGAGTGAGACCTTATGTTGGAAATGTCATCAGGTTATGCTGGCATCAACTAGGGAGTGGGACCCTATGTTGAAAAGGTCATCAGGTTATGCTGGCATCAACTAGGGAGTGGGACCCTTTTCATCAGGTTATGCTGGCATTAACTAGGGAGTGAGACCCTATGTTAGAAAAGTTGTAGTTAGGGATTGGTGACCCTATACTACCATGGCTTTGAACTTTTCTTCTTTTCTTTCTTTGCATTCCACTTTTCATCATTTTTATTTAAGAGAATGAGTAAAGAATTTGGAGGAGACTTCCCTTTGGGTTGACTATTGTTGCAGAACCATTTTAGTCTCTGCATGGTTTACTTTTTTGTTGCACCTATTTCTTGCAAGGTTGCTTTGAATTACACCTGTCTTCCTTGTTTTTCAAACAAAGAATAATTTATCAGTTTGAAATAGTGGTTAGTTTTGTGGCCTTGAGCATTTCAATCACTTGATCTTTGCCCGACTTCTTAAATAAAAATCTCCATTGCTTGCTTTCTTTCTGGGAATTGGTTTCATTCCTAAACCTAGGGATCTTGACTTTTCCAAAACTTTAACATGATGGTTAACCTTGTGGGACTTAACCTTTTTTCACTTTATTTTGCCTTTATGGGTATTTTACTTTGATTTCCTTTCTTTTTAGGAGTTTCTGACTCCAAAGCATCGGCCATCATGGCTAGTCGAGGTCAACTCGATGCACCTGCTGAGGCTGGGTGTTTCCTTGAATATTAGCTTTCGTCAAACAAAACCCTGTAAATCAATCTTGCCATCATTTCTTTGTCTTAATTTCGGAACATAATTAGATCGAAAGGCATTCAAAGAAAAATAAATAATGGAAAGGATAATGAATTTAAAGTAGAGGCATCCCTTTCGGGGAAAGGAAAGAAGGACTTATCTGGAGTATATGCAGACTTCAATGAACATGACATTCCTCTTGGACTGGATACCCGGTCGTGCGAACCGTCCAACTCTCATAAACTCATCATAACTCATACTTCAAAACTGAGAAACCTTCCCAGGATTCTGTCGATACCGATGGCTGTGAAGATCCCCTTTTCGATCAGTGGTGCCCTTTGCGGGTTTTCACCAACTGGCCTCTCTAATTTATCTTCTCACCATCTCCTGATAGTACTCTTTGTGACTTTTCACTACCGAGACTCTCTCATTTCAATTTCTCTACTTACCATTGCCCTATGGTGCCTGTGTGGGTTTTCACCAATAAGATTCTCTCATTTTATTTCTCTCATTTGATTGTATTAGATCCAAGTAACCATATCCTCCAATTTTGGACATCTTTACCGATTGATCGTAAGGACTTGAACGGGATTTAAGGTAAAAAGAATTTGGATTGAATTACAACTTTGGAACTTTTCAGGTAAAAATATTGCCAAATCATTGAAACTTCTGTCCCAGTTTCAACTTTGGGGAAATGTGAATTTTTGTTTTGGTGTGACTGAACCCCAGAGAGAGGTTGTCTACGTATCTTTTTTGAATGAAGTCAAATGTAGTTCAAGAAAAACTTTTGTTTTTGTTTTTTCTTTTGTTTTGTTTTTCTTTTTTTTTAAAACTTCTTAGTTCCAAAGAGGGTAATCAAAGAAGAGTAACTGGCTCAAAAGGTTTGCAAAGGGTTGAAAGTGTTTGGGTAGAGAGAATGAAAGTTGTCGTCATCCCAATCGGAGAGTATTAAGATTGCGTAAAAGGTTAAACAAAATACCTTTTGATTGCATCAACATTAACAGCTGTTTCAGGATTATTTCCTGCTATGTCTCCCAAATATAGTGCTCCTTTCGGCAATAGTTTTCTTACAATGTACGAACCTTTCCAATTTGAAGCAAATTTTCCTTTTGCTTCCTCATAATGCAGCACAATACATCTCAGAACGAGTTTCCCCACTTCAAAGTTTCTAGGCTGCACTTTCTTATTGTAGGCACGGGCCATTCTTTGTTGATACAACTGCCCGTGGCAGACTGCGGCCATCCACTTTTCATCAATCATGGTTAATTGTTCTAAACGGGTCTTGACCCATTCATCATCCTCAATCTCAGCTTCAACAATGATTCAAAGAGAGGAAATTTCAAATTCTGCCGGTATTACGGCTTCAGTGCCATAAACCAATAAATAGGGTGTTGCCCCAACTGATGTGCGCACGGTTGTATGGTATCCCAATAATGCGAAAGGTAGCTTTTCATAGCATTGTCTAGAACTTTGGATCATTTTCCTGAGGATCTTCTTGAAATTCTTGTTTGTCGCTTTAACAACACCATTAGCTTTGGGTCGATAGGGGGTAGAGTTACGATGCGTGATCTTAAATTGTTCGCATACCTCCCTCATCAAATGGCTATTCAAATTTGCAGCATTGTTTGTAATGATAGTTTTAAGAATACTAGAATGACAAATAATGTTGGAATGCACGAAGTCCACCACTGCTTTCTTGGTGATGGATTTGAAAGTGACTGTTTCAACCCATTTTGTGAAATAATCAATGGCAACCAGGATGAATCTGTGCCCGTTTGAAGCTTTTGGTTTGATCGGCCTAATGAAATCCATACCCTAAGCAACGAATGGCCAAGGTGCTGACATAAGATGCAACTATGAAGGCAGTGCATGAATCAGGTCGCCATGTATCTGACACTGATGGCACTTTCGGACAAAACTGAAGTAATCCTTTTCCATGGTCATCCAGTAATAACTTGCCCGAAGGATTTTCTTTGCGAGGACGCATCTGTTCATGTGGGGCCTACATACTCCCGAATGCACTTTGTTCATGATCTTTCCACCCTCTTGGGCATCCACGCACCTTACAAGATTCAAATCTAGAGTTCTTTTGTACAAGACCTCTCCACTCAAGAAAAAACTGCTGGCGAGCCTTCTAATGGTTCTCTTTTGTTCTCCGCTGGCTTGCTCGGGATATTTCTTTATTTTCAAAAA